CTGGAGAGGACACAAAACCCTTCCCAAGCCCTTCCTGGGAAAAGATGAAAGCAACTGAGGAGAGAGCGAGCTCAGGGAGACCCGCGGGAAGACGGAGCGAGCGGCAGGTGGGGAAGGCGGCAGCGGCCCCCTTCTCGGTGCCCCAGCCCCACAATGGCAGGAGCCACAGCTTCAGGGGTTCTCGCCGCCTTCCAAGCACCTCCCTGCCCCTTCTGCACCGCTCGTAGCCAGAACCTTTCCCACCCCCTCTCCCAAAGGCCGAGCGCTCAGACTCCCCGTTTACCTGGCCACTTAGAGGACGCGGGAATTACAAGGAGTGGTTTCCATCCCGAGCCGGCACAGCCTCCTGGGGCCCGGCCGTGTCTGTCCAGACACAGTCCAGATGGTTAGTGTGCACGCAGACCTCCCCATCCTCCATTCGGGCACTGGCCGCAGAGGTGAGTACTGGAGAAGCTGGGCTGCACAGGCCTGACCCACTGGACAGCTCCCCTTCTATTCATTGGCTCCAAGGACTCCGATCCCCAATTTCTTTTCACACTCACACACACACACACACACACACACACACACACACACACACACACACACACACACCTGCTTCCAGGGCAGGAAATGGGGCATTGATTCCAGTTATTTGCTTTCATCTTTCCTTTGTCCCTGTACCAATAACCTGGGCTCAGAGACACAAGACATACCACTCGGTGACATCCAGCTCCTGGGGTGAGGGGCTGTGTGGTGGTTTGGGGATGTACATGCAGAAGGTGCCTACCTATTCCAGGAAAGGCCTGAGGATATGCTGGGCAGAGCACTGACCAGGGGCTCTGACCTGGGTTATCATTTCTTTTCTTTTTTTAAAAATATATTTTTATTGATTTCAGAAAAGAAGGGAGAGGGAGAGAAACATCAATGATGAAAGAGAATCATTGATCGGCTGCCTCCTGCACGCCCCCCACTGGGGATTGAGCCCACCACCCAGGCATGTGTCCTTGGCCAGAATCGAACCCGAGACCCTTCAGTCGGCAGGCTGACGCTCTATCCACTGAGCCAAACCAGCTAGGGTGAGGGTTATCATTTCTAACAAGCTCTGGGCTTTGGTCACGTTCTCTGCCTCCCTGAAACTCAGTTTTCTCATCGGACAAATGGAGGGCTTGGATGAGATGCATCAGATCACTTTCGGATCTAACACTGTGTGGTTCTGCTTTGCTAAACATGGAGGTTTCCTAATGCTGGGGTATGTTACATGGTGAGGACGGGCAGACTAGGTCCCAAGAGACCTCACAGGTGGCATTTGTGGTGTTGAATTTACCAGATAGGGATGTGGGCCTGGGTTTCGAAGACTCCAAGGCTACATCTAGGAAATACTCATTGTTAACAATTTAATGAAATATGAAGCCATAATACATACACATTCCTTGGCCATGAGAAATTTAAGTTTTCATTCAGACTGAATGAAAACTCATGCGTGCACATCCGGCACATTCTCCTCCTTTAAGCTAAATCAGAGTCAGTGTCTATGTGTAAATGCACAGTGACATAACTGAACAGGAGTATTTGTATCTTTAATGGCATCTGGCCATCCCCAGCAAGGAGTCGCGCCAATGGGTTCAGAAAACTTCTTGGCTACAATCCTCCACCCCCATCTCTATGTTATGGGCGGCCTGGCTACTCCAACTGTTGGCAAAAGCACTCTTTCCAGGATGGGACTTGCAACAGCTGTGCCCATGTGGTTCTCAGGGACTCTCCCTTTAAGAGGCTTCTATTGCTGACCTTTTTCCAAGGCTGACACATTCTTTGTTTAAGTATGCTAATATTTCCAATTAGGTTATAGCCAAGTACTGCTGGCAGGGAGCTGTTTCTTCTCTTTAAGGTGATTTTGCATACTCTCCACTGATCATTACTTGCTAAAATAGAAATCTTATACTTATAGAGAGAAAGCTTATATTTTTCTTTTTAATGTCTGAGGAAAAACTTCATTGTTTTTTCCAGGCACCACGACCCCATGCACCTCACCAGCTATTTCTTCACAGTTCCCTTTGCTGGGTCCGTTAACATTAGAGTTCTGAGGGGCTCAGTCCTGGGCCATTCCACCTACTCTCTTCTCCTTGGTCACCTCAGGTAGTCCCATGACTTTACTGCTGTCTATATGCGGGTGATTCCCATATTTACACCTCCAGTCCAGATCTTTCCCTCAAGCCAAAACTCAAAATCTCCATCTGTCAATCCGACATCACCACATAGATATCTATTAAGCATCTCATACTTCACAGATCCATAAATAAACTTCTGATCCAGGTCTTCCTGGATTGCCTCTTCACTAAGGTGCTCAGGCCAAAAAAAAAAAAAGACATGAAGTTAGTTATCTTTTTTCTCTTTCTCTCATCTCTACGTCAGCAGGTCTTGTCAGCCCTACCTTCAAAGTATATTGAATCCACCACTTCTCACCAGCTCCATCACTTCCTCCTTAGTCTAAGCCATCACCATCTGTCTATAGCTACTGCAACAGCCTCTTAACTGGTTTCCCTGCTTCCAATCTTGCTCCCCTGAAACTTATTCTCAGCAGTCAAGTGATCCTCTACAAACAAATCAGATCTGATCCAGCAAAGAAATGAGTGCATATGTCCCACAAAAAGACAAGTATAGGTATTTTCATAGCAGCTTTACTTGTAATATTAAAAAACTTCAACTGTTTACCAGAAAATCATTAAACTTGGGTAAACTAATAGTGGTATATTCATTGAAGGGAATGTTATGTAACAAATTTTTAAAAGACTGAACTATTATATAAAATGGCATAAAAAGATCTCACAAATAATGAAGAAGCCAGACCATAAAGAGTACATACATACTAGAAGAAAAAAAGAGTATATACAGTACATACTATATGATTCCATTTATATAAAGTTCAAGAAAAATGCAAATTAATCTACAGTAATAGAGAAAATAGTGGTTACTGTTTCCATCCTGGCCCCAAAATTCCTCCTGCTGCATACTCTCACCCTTGATTCCACTGTCCCCTTCATTCACTATATCCATTCTAACTACAAGTCCTACTATTTTGCTTTTAAATACCTCCCCAATGTATTTCTTTGTCTTCATCCCAGCTCCTGCTACAGCCCTCATTTACAACTTCATCTCTCACCTGAATTATTGCCTGATACATAACTTGGTACTTGCCCCGGTCTTCATCTCCCATATCTACTTCACACTGCTACCATGGTTCTAAAACACAAATCTGCCACTCCCTTGCTTAAATCCCTCCTGTGGCTTCCATCATGGACAACAGCTTCCCAACCAGTGTTTTTGACAATGTGTGCAGATATTAATTCCCTCAGCACTTTGGGCTTCTCAGCAGAGCCTGGGACAGCTAGAATTCCTGAGCCGACTGCCTCCAGCCTGAAGCAGCCATGTCCCTTGCCCTCAGTATGCCGTTTCAAATGGCTCTGTGCCATGATGTGAAAAAGAGCTGAGAAGCACTGATCTGTGGGAGCTCCTAAACTGGCTCTGACCTCATCCTGCCTTCAACACCAAACATTCAAGTATCACTTTTTTCCAGGAAGTTTTTTTAGATAGCCTTCCCTGGGCTCTCAAATTATGTATTTTTAAATCTTTATGGTTCAATATTACATATATCCCCTTTTCTCCCCCCCCATCCCCCCCGCCAATTGACCCCTTCTAGGCCGCCCCCAGCCCCCTCTCAAAATGTTTTATTTCATAATAATAAATGTAGTCTATACCTTGGTAATGACTAACAGCAGAATGGCCTTGCTCATCTTCGCATCCTCTGCTGCCCCAGCAGTCCTTGTAGGAACCATAAAAATGTCAGAGAATGAAACAAAAGAGCAAGAGGGCCAGGCTCACCTTTTCTTGCCTAGAGTTTAGGAAAGTTTATGGTTACGTAAGTCAAAACCGATAGCTGATAGCTTCAAGAAGGGGGTGATACAACCAAATTAAATGTGGCAAAGAACAGAAAGAGAAAAAAAAGCCATTGGATTTAGTCTAGTTACTAAAAGTCTTTGAGTAGATTCAAATGTGATGTAAATCAGAGTTCCTATGTTCCAATTCCAACTTCGTTTTGCAGTATATGGTTCCAAAGAAAACCACATTAACGTAGATGTTTAGCTAGCTTTCCTCCATCTCTCCTCCCGTCTGCTAGTTGTATCAACTTCCACTAGTTTTTGGTTTATCCTTACATTTTTTAAATATAAACAAATGTATTCATTATGTACAACCCGTAAGATAGGTAAAGTGGCACACTATACATTATTCTGTGTGTTACTATCTTTACTCTATATCCTGGAGATCTTTTCACAACAGTATGTAGCATCTTCCGCACACTTTCTACTCAGCTCAGTACTCTATTGTGTGAATTTACCAGTTTATCCAAGCAGTCCCTTACTGATGGATACGAGTTGTTTCCAATCCAGTTACTACAAACAGCACTATGTTGAATCACTTTGTGCGTGTTACTTCATAGTTTGCCGGCATATCTCCAGTAACTTTACTTCTGTTCTCACTTAATAACCCTCTGCCACTGATACTGAGTCTCCATCCTATAAACTAATTGTATAAGCTTGACATAAGGAAACAACTGCCATAGTGCACAGTGGTCCAACAATTACAGCAGCACATTAAAAACTAAGTCTTTAAATGTGGAATAAACGCCCTCATTCCTACATTATCATTTTTCTCCCAATAAACAGACACCTCTTCTTACAAAAAAGTTACTTTGTCAAGGAAAACACCACAAAAAATAAACAAGGAATTTAGCTTTATTTTCTCTGTACATCTGCAAAACACTTGGGACCAACATAGAAAAATCAACTTCCTGTTTTAAAAAATTAAACTTTAAAAAAAGGCCTATGGGCCCTGGCCGGTGTGGCTCAGTTGGTTGGGCATCGTCCTGTGCACGGAAAGATTGCTGGTTATATTTTGGGTCAGGGCACATGCCCGAGTTGCCAGCTTATCCCCAGTAGGGGGCATGCAGGAGGCAGCCAATCAATGTCTTGCTCTCACATCAATGTTTCTCTCCCTCTATTACTCTCCCTACCCTCTAAAAATCAGTAAAAAAATCTTAAAAAAAAAAAATGGGATCAAGGCCTTAACCCCAGGAAACTACAGCAACTCTGATTGGTCCAAGGAATTGAAAAGATATTGGGGAAATAAAACAAGAGGAAAGAGCATGAGAAATTACTGAGGGAGGGGGCCTCGAAGTGGGCCTCGAGGGGGAACTGGAGGCCGGGGAGTGGGTCTGGGTGGAGGGAGGGGCCCCCTTTGGTAGCCATAGGGTGGGGGTCGTGGAGGGCCAGTGTATCCATGAGGGGGCATCAGTGGAGGAGGTCCACGCATACCATGGGGAGGCATAGGACCTGGGTGACCTGTAAGAAGAGAAAGAAAAGTTAGTAAAAGCAAGACATAGGAGATAGTTGATGCTGGGAGAATGCAGGGAGAGAATAGACAGAGCAGGGGAAAAGAGGTGTGACAAAGGAAGCCACAAGAATATGATGTATGAGGAGGAGAAGGGAGGTGGCTAGAGCCTACTCACCCATGGGAGATCCAAACGGAGGCCCTCGGGGAGGCATGCCCATTGGCGGAGGTCCGGGATGAGGCATGCCAGGTGGTGGTCGTGGTGGGGGCTGCCCCCCAGATCCTGGGGGCCCAGCATGGGGGTGTCCTAAGCCATGAGGGCCATGGTGGGCCAGCTGCATCTGCGACATGCCTATGAGAACATACACACAAGAGAAAGGGCAGATAAAATGGAGTGACATCAGGAAGAGTATGGAAAATAAGGCTGATTAAAAAGTGCCCCTATCCTTGAACGCATTCCAACAGTACAAACCAACCAACTACCCAAGCAATTCCTCCCTCCTTCACTTGCTCTTTCCATGATTTAGGCACTGTAGTAGTGCTGCAGAAGTACATGACAAATGGAGTGAATTAGTCCGGCGGTCACCAACCTTTCGGTCCTCATGACCGCTGAATTAGTCTATTGATAGAATTTGGAAAGGTCACAGAGATACTATCTGAGCAAAGGTCTATTTCTAAAGGATGAATAAGAATTTTTCTGATGGACAGAGTAGGAATAGAACATCCAAGGCAGAAAAAATTAGAATCATAGGTGTTTTTTAGCAACAAAGTTCCAGGAGAACCAGTAATTTCGTTAACCAGGGGCCAGATCAAGAAAAGTCTAGAATGCTATGGCAATGAGTCTGGAATTTCTCTGTAGATAAAAGGAAACAACAGAATAATTTTTAGTAAGGATGTACAAACATGTGTTTTAGAAAAATAACTCTGTGAAACTATCAAAGGTAGAGAAAATTGGAGTCTAAGTGAGAAGAAGTTCCTACAATAAATTAGATGTGAAATAATGAGGGTATGATGCCCTGACCAGTGTGGGCCAGTAATTAGATTGTCAGCACGTGCACCTAAAGGGCCGAGGTTTTGATTCCAGTCAAGGGATGCATGTGGCCGGCAACCAACCAATGTTTCTCTCTCTCTCCTTCCTTCTCCCTCCTCTCTCCCTTCCACACTCTCTAAAAATCAATGGAAAAAATATCCTTCAGTGAGGATTAACAAAAGAAAAAAAAGAAAGAATCCTATATAATAAACAGCTAATATGCTAATTAGACCAGACTGTAGAACGACCTTCCAGAACAACCAGTGGGCGGGGCCAAGAGGCAGCCAGGGCTGCGAAGGCCTACTCTTGGACGAATTTTGTGTATCAGGCCTCTAGTAAGGGTATAAGAGTCTGAAATTGGGCACTGGCAGTCATGGCAGATGCCAAAGATAGAATAGTCAAACATAGCTCCAAGATTTCTGAATTAAGCACCTGAAAACAAAGAATAATAGAGGAAGAATAGGGTTGAAAGGGAAGGGTAGAAAAGTGGAGCTGTCCATTTAGCAGCAGGATTAGTGTCTAGAATGTTAATAATCATGAATCAGAGATACAGATCAGGAGGCATCAGTGTGCAAGTAATGAAACTACACCGGTACAAACAGAGAAAAAAGAGTCTACTCAAGTGGCTGAGATTGAGGAGACAGAAAGATAAAGATCCAGAAAAACCAAGAGATAAGATTTTCAAACAAAAAGACATGGACAACTCATAGACACAGACAACAGTATGGTGATTACCAGAAGGAAAGGGGGGTGGAGGGAGGTAGAAATGGGTAAAGGGGAATAAATGGTGAGGGGATGTATTACAGAATTATACACTTGAAACCTATAAATTTTATTAACCAATGCTCCAATAAATTCAATAAATTTTTTTTTTAAAAAGGCATGGCTAGTTTTGAGTAAAAACAAAGGTCAAACTAGATAAGGAGCAGAAGTGTCCCCTAGATTTAGCAATTAGGTCACTGCTTTGGGGTAAAAGTCAGAGGAAGTATAAGTTAAGGAAACAAAAAACAGCAAGTATAGTTATACCCTTTAGAAAAACTTAAATGGAGACATGGTGATAGTTGTTAAAGTAAACAGAGTAAAGTATTTTGTGTTTCTTCTTATAAAATAATGCCTGAAAGAAAGTTCAGCTCTGGAACTATCTATTATTGTTAAAGGAAAAAGGGCAGAAATAAGTGGTGATAGAGATCCTCTTTCAAGCTCATCCCTCCCTTTCCCAGCAAAGAACACCTACCTGGATGGGGCATCCCACCCGGTGGAAATGGGTGAGGATGTGAGTGTCCGTGTCCAGGATGTCCAGCCCCCGGGGTTCCTGCTGAAGGGGGCCCATGTCCTCCAGCCCCAGGAGGCATAGGTGGTGGGGGCATGGCTGGGGGAATCCCAGGTGGAAGGGCTCCAGGAGGCGGCACTGGGGGTGGGAAGGAGCCAGGAGGAGGCATGCCTATTGAGGAAATGGAAGAAGAATTAATGATAGTGAGGAGAGAATGTCTTTCGCGAGCCTGTTCCAGCGTGGCCTCTCCACGTAGGATGAGCTCTTTTCTCCTCCTCCCAGCTCTCTCAAAAAAGCAATGTTAGCCAATACAAACAACTTCAACTTCCTGGAGAAACAGCAACTTTTCTCCCCATCACAACCATCACACCTCAATCCTCCTCTCATCACCCAGGGACTCAATGTCCTCCTTTATTAGTCTTTTTCCTTCTTCCTGCCCTACCCACCAAACCCAAAACAAACATATTTTGAATCAAAAACTTTACCTGGTGGAGGAAGCCCAGTTCCCAATGATGATACTACAGGATTGGGGGCAGAGGGTGGAGGTGGTGCATCTGCAAACAGCTGATGAGGGCGATCAGCCTGGGAGAGTGGGTTCTGGGCTGCCAGAAGTCGCTCGGCTGCTGAGCCATGACGTTCACCCTTGGAGTCCTTCTTGAAGGCATAGGACACAGTGATAGGGCGGTTGCAGAGGTACTGCCCATTCATAGCTTCAATCGCTGCGTCCGAAGCATCAAACGAAGCAAAATTAATAAAGGCATAACCTTTGGAGTTGCCTGTGTCAGGGTCCCGCATGATCTTGGGGGTTTGTAAAATGACCCCAAAGGCGCTGAAAGTATCATAAAGCAACTTCTCATCAATCTCTGGGTCCAGGTTCCCAATGAAAATGTTGGCCCCCACATCCAGGTTTTTGTTGTGAGCTGATGCTTTGTTCACCCGGATTGGCTTCCCATAGAGTTTGATCATGTTCATGATCTTAATGGCATAGTCAGCATCTTCCTCGCTCAAGAATTCCACGAAGCCATAGCCTGGAGAGGTGCAAGGGAGGAGGTTAACTTAAGCGAAGTGGTGCAAAACGGGGTACACCTCATCCACCTTCGAAAGCACCAAAAATAAGAAAGAATAACCTCACTTCCATTGAGAACGGTCCCAGAAACAAACTGTGCACAGATGTAAGAGACAGAAATGTTGAGGTTGCTTATTGCAAAGCAGCCACGAATACTGCTGGGATTCTCAAAGAGCAGCGTGTCCCCTCAGTGCATCAGTGCACGGACTCACCTTGGTGCTGACCAGTGACCCTGTCCTTGGGCATGTGGGTGTTAACGACCGGCCCGGCCTGGAGAAACAGCTCCCACAGCAGCGGTTCGCTAACCTTCTCGTCCAGGCCCCCCACGTACACGGTGGCATCTGGACGACGGGAGAAGGGGGTCAGGGCCGAGAGGAATGGACAGGAAAGGAGATGACAGGAACATGAAGGTGAAAACCAAGCGGGGTAAGTGGGGGTGGAGACAGGGTATAGGAGCAAAAAGAAAACAACAAAAAACCCGTTAGATGAAGCCCATACACCTCCCTTTCTACAGGAACAACAGAATCTTCTTAAGCCTAACTTAGAGTTCTGCTGCAAATTCTCTTTACAACTTTCTTATCAGTGGGAACGCAGAAGATTGGGCATAGAAAGCATCGCGCCTACAGGCCTTGGCCCGAACCCG